AGCCATTTCCCCAATGAACCCTCATTCCTTTTATTAAGAAACGGTATCTGGATTTCAGCATCTGAAGTAATACTTGCCAATTCATTTATTGATGAAACATTTTCTGAGCAGTTAATATGTATCAGCCACTGGTTTGGCTTTGAAGATACAAAGATATAACACAAACTCAAAGAGCTGACAATGGCATATACTCAGAAAGAATACATAGCCAAGAGCTATAGAGCAAGGCAAGTAATAAGCTCTAGGCAAAATAATCTATTTGAAATTTATCTGGTCAGGTAATATACTTTGATTTCTGTCTTTAGGGAGAAATAAGGAAGAGATCTGATACATAGTGACATAGTTAGAGAAAGCCTTAAAGGACTATATCTATATCATACCTTGAGGACAGAACTGACTCAGTCTTCAGATGTATAAGCACCCCTGCTTATGAGTGTCCACTCACTAATATTTTACTTCCAACTAGAAATTACCCACAGTCCCTGACTTACAATGGTTCAAATTATAATTTTTTGACTTTACAATGGGTTTATTGGCAGTATTAAATGAATTTTTGACTTAAGATATTTTTTACTCACAATGAATTTATGAAGACGTAGCCCCGTTGTAAGGAGAACATCTATACTTACAAAGCAGCTTACTTGCCATTTTTCCTATTAGTTTTCCCTCTTTCCCATTTTCTGCTTAAATTCTTCCTTATTTTTTCAACTTCTTTCTTCCTGACTTTCTGCAAAATACAGCTTATCCGGGATTTCCACTTATACCAGTAAGAAAGGAATAGAAAAGACAAAAAGTTCCTTCAAAGTAAAGAAAGTTTTCCAAGAGAGAAAAAAGACAGAAAGAAACTGCTTCCTGTGTCAATTGTAAAAGAAAAATTCCTTTAAAACAGTATCTAGCATTCTGTGTTCTAAAAGAAAAAAAGGTAAATGTTAAACTGTTTGTAAATGTTCCATGCTATAAATTACAAAAGTAAACATTATAATGGAATATAATAAAATCTCCTACCTTTCAGCACTAAATGCTGATTCTGTGTCAATATACACAACAGCTCCTTCTAATCCTCCCATGTTGGTGGGTAATGTAGCCAAAACGCTCATCATCATACAAAACTGAGTTTTTCCACAACCTGGTGGACCTGTAATCTAAAAAAAAAAAGTTATTTGTATAAACATCCCAAATCAGTCAAAGCAAAATCCTTTCAAGAGCTTATCACATACGCAGTCCAACTAACCTGAGCTCCTGGGAAAGAATAAAGTCCTAAAGCCCTAAGACATCCATTGTAAGTAATGAATTAACTTCTCCCCTATGCATATGGATTGGTATTAGTTATGCACTATTCTTAGAGGAATTGATAAAATAGTCACTCAAATCATCCCCTGTATTTCATAGTTCAGAAGAGAAACTGGTTGAGAAGGCTGGAGGATTCATTCACTTATACATTCACAATTTGGAGTTCTATACCTTTTCCTCATTAAGACATTTATAGTAGGACTTTGAAAATATTTAAAGGTCTTCAATAAATGGTTTAGCATTTGTTATAAATTGGCCTTTCAAAACAATATC